GCTAGTAAGGAGAGAGTATAGAATTAGTTCGCATTAATAAAAGCAGAATATAAGGAGTATACTATATCTTATAGTAAGTAATTAATTCGTCGTTTTAAGATAGGCTTCTATTAACAGGCATTTTTGAGATAGGCTATTATTAGAGAGGTTCTAGCGCGTTGAGATATTCTAAGACGCTAACGTTGTGGATGAACTAGTGTAGATAAGCATTACTTATATAATACCTTTAGTTCCCTAGTCCTCTTATGTGTAACCTGTTCAAAACTATTCTAGATTTCCGATCTTTTTGGGCTATTCTATTTAAAAGAGGAATTCTGATTTAATCCTTCTAGACCTTCCCTATATGCAGTGCTCAACTTTGTCTTATATTTAGTTATTAACCACTAGTGAACAAAGCTTTATCGGGATTTATCTATATCAGGAGCACTTAAGTAAAGCACCCAGACACATTAGAGAGGTAGGCCCAACACGAGGGAGCGATATTAGGGCTAAGGATATACGCGCTTCTGAAGAAGTTGTTCTTGCTGTCATAGCTGGCTCGCTGCTGAGAAAGTCATGAATATCATCAGATACTAGAGGATCGGTATTAAGAAATAAATCTGATTCAGGATAAAGAGATCCTTGTGACTGAGAGATATAAGACTGTAACATCTTATATTAGTCTAAGGATACTCAATACGAGAAGAGAGAGAGAGCTCACCTACAGAGTGTTTGAGCTGAAAATCCCAGGGGTAGGAGCAAACTAGTGCTTTTGACATGTTAGCAACGTGACTCATGAATTGCTGAATTCTCATTAGCTAGATAGGTGTAATAATGTGGATAAGGTATGGATATCTATATAGATATCCACGTTATCCATACATTATCCATAATTATCCATAGAAGATTCTAAAAAATGGCTAAGTCCGCGATTCGAGAACTTTGAATGTGAATTTCATTGGCCTTTTTGAATGAGATTCTGTCATTTAAAGGACATATCATATAGAACTATATATTATCACTATATATTGAAGAGGGGAACGCTCGATGGCTGCACGCGCTGAGACGTGCGGGTCGATTCAGCAGAAAACCACCACAAAACACACGCGTAGCAATCAGGAAATAGCGAGATACCCAAATGTAGGGGTCAGATCGGGGAGGTGTAAGAAGGTATATTCTAGAACTAGCTATCCGGCCATCGTATACTGCCGGCTATGTCACACTGCCTGGGTGGCAGTCATATAGTACGGGAGGGGGTCTCCCCACTACAATAGATATATCGAGACGACCGGGATACAGATCCATACTCCACGCGTGGTCATCCGGGGTGGTGAAGCGTGGGTCCAGTCCGATCGTGCGACCGGGGCAAGGATGATCGTTTCACTACATACGATATAGCATATCGCGTCGGATGGATCGTGATCACTACTGGCAGGGATCTCCGGGGGCGCTGCGAGTCGGCAGTTGCGGATTTCGCGATGTCGATGGGGTGCCGGTCTTCCGGGCACGCACCGTCGGTGGCGGGAGCACGGCCTGTGGACGAATCAGACGGCGAAGAAATCTAGTGGGCCCTGGGTCGATCAGCGACTAGGGTACAAGAGTGAGAAGGAACACTGCAGTGTTGTGCCGTTTTAACCAGAACAGGTGTAAGTTTAAATTAAAAACAGGAGTATGTAAGCTGCATAAGTATCACCTGATGGGCTAGAATCGGTTAAAGAAGCGAGAGTTATGCTAGTGTGGTTTTCTTGCGGTTATCCATGGATAACCGTGGTTAAACCGCAAATCTGCGGTTGTGGTTGCGGTTTTCAAAATGATATCCAAAACCGCAAAATTGCGGTCTAATTTGACTTTGATACCCAAAACCGCAGTTTTGGGGCAGTCTATTACGAATTGCACATATAATGTCAATATTATATTATTTATTTACGATTACATGAAGATTTCTAAATATTTCTTATATTAAGTGAACGAAAATGCAGAATGGTATTGGAATAACTGGAACATGTGTAGTTATCTTACGATTAAAACAAGACTTTGCCGGCTGCATTAGAGTCATGTGGTAGCTAGAATAGGGTAAATTGGCGAGAGTTATGCTAGTGCGGTTATTTTGCGGTTAACCATGGCTAACCGCAACCGCACCTACAAATTGCGGGTGTGGTTGCGGTTTTGCCGCAGCCTAGTCACGATTGCAGGTATAGACTCCGATGAACGTTAGTCTTGGCATTACACCTTCCACTCCCGAGAAGACTTGGCGTGCGTCATAATTGCTGGCCACCACCCCTCCAAGCCAGCAGCCGTTGGCTTACAGTTTAGAACAACTTCCAACCTCACTGGCCATCAATCTACGAATGATCCAGCCTTTGAGCTGTGCGTGTGATCGCATCATTCGGCGCGAGGCCTTCCTCTGGGCGGCAGGTTTCCAGACGGGTGTCAAAAATAGATTTTACATGTTCGTGTCATTCATGGTGTCGTACATAATGAGAGTTTCCTCTCATCATTCGATAGAGAAACTGGGTAAGTGGGTCGAGAGGGTTGTTGGCTTTTTGATGGGGGAAATGAGACATCCCTCCATAAACCTCCCGAGGTTATTGTTATCACGTGATGCTACTTTTGTCTTTTGTAAGCGATTTGGGTGACTGCTGTTGCCAGATTGGAAGGAGTGCGAACGACACCATGGTGGAGGTGGCTATTTTCGGACAAGGTCAGTTGTCATTTTTGGACATGTAACAGTACATGTCTACACAGTTATGTACTTTCATGCATGGGATCTTGCAAACCTAGAACAAATTTAAAATACGAAGCTAGCCATATATGATTTAGCGTATCTTGTTATTAGGATCTGAAACAATATCTCATTATTCCCTCGCATGGAAGGCAGTAACGGTCGGCACTGTAGATTGGAAAATAAATTGAAAAGGCTTGCATCATTTGAGAGTATCGAGTTGCTTGAAACTGCCTCCTAAACGCAAACAGCTCAATCGCAGTGATAGGTCAATCAACTATAAGTGATGACATAGTGTCACCCGGTCATGCGACATTTGATCTATGCCTTAAGAGTCTGGTCACGTATAAACTGTAATGGTCAAACGATATGCCATGTGACTGTGATTGAGCACCGCAAAATTTGACTCAACTAACATTAAAGAAATTCCAATAACTAATGGTAACAATCAATCTAGAATTAACTGACGATTCCTATTTCCAGAAAACGTCATAGATTTTTACGCAATCTTGACATCCATATCCTTTTTAAATAAGCTCCACCGGCAATAAAGAGATACCGGACATAATTCTGGTAACTCACACTTCAAACTGTTCAGCATATTGAGTTATGTGTCTGAGAAGCATGAATATCTCGATTTCCTTACTTGTTTTCGCTGCTCTGCCCGCAGCAACTCCCTGGCCTACTGATCACTGTCGCAATAATTGCGTTGTATGGACGAAATTACAAACTGGCGGGCAGGACACTCAGTTCTGTGTCCATAACGGCGCTTGCGACATAACGAATTTAGGCCTTCATTGCGGTATCTATGACACCCAAAATAAAAAGCATGTATGCGGCTATTGGGGAATGATACCCTGTTATGCTCAATGCATGTGAACGATTAAAGTATCTCTGCCGCAATATCCTAATAACCTCAACATGTCTGCTAGTTGTTGAAAATAAGATTACCAAATTATCAAAAACATGATTAGTTACGGAGTTGATATGAAAGCCCTTTCACTGAATCTTTGGGTTAATGAGGTTGACCCGGATAATTCATGTACGTACGCGCCAAAGTTCCCGCTTTCAGTGAGGATAGCAAGTACACACTTTCCAACGAATCCAAGCTCATGAACGTCTTTTCGGAGAACTAGAGTCTTCGCTACTATGATCGGTGAAAATTATATTGGAGCCAATGGACCTTTGACAGACTCCCAAATATCTGGTACCTACCTGATCTGCGACTTATCGCCGCTATTTTTTTCACGTCACCATACAGAGTATTAATTGTCCCCAGGTGGGGCTTAGGTGTCAGATGCCCATGTGTAGGGCCTTCGTTTGCCATAATCGGCCATATGGCGCTGCCTGAGCCGCCGGAACTAAGATCTTAAATAAATTCCATGATTTAGACTTACTCCCCTTCGAAAGCCCCAGCCGCAATGATGTGATGATTTAGGGTGGCCGTTTCGGGTGACAGATCATACAACACAGATAGTGTTTCCCTTACAGTTGTCTGACATGATGGGATACAATATTGAAGATTTCCACCATACTTTGATTAGTAGAGTATGTGGGCTTCGATATATTAGTTATCTGGTCTATGCTCCATCTTAATGTCTCAAAGGGAAGGGGTAAGACCAGTCTCCCAATTGGCTGAGCTGGTCCACCCAAATTGTTTTATCTTCACATGTATACTGATCTCTAGACGTGTAAGCAAGCAAAAGTTGTTGATAGTCCCGTAAATAGACATAATAGAAGTCCTATGGCTGCTATAAATTGAGACTGTAATCCGGCCTGATACATGGTCGCAACACGAGCAGCCCCAGATTTGCATAAGCAGAGCGTCGGCGTGGTCGACAACGACGACTTTAATGGGGGAAGAAAGTCGCGGTCGACTTTTTTGGCATCTACTTGGTCTGTGATCGTTCGGAGGCCGAGAGGAGAGGCTAGGATGACGTCTAAATTGTAGAACTACGAAAAGTACTTGACGGTCTTGCGGGAGACGGGGCCTCAAGAGAGACAAAGAGTGTGTTGAGATGTTACTGCAGAGAGAGTCTGACAGATCGATCGAAGCCTAGACCATAGGCGAAAACGGACAACAGGCATTTCAAGGAATGGTGGGCGGATGGCAGACAAAGTTTGCATGTTGCTCTTTATGGACATCCAGCTCAAGCCACTTTGTCATGTACTTCTCGACAGTCGATGCTCAAATTCAACGGTCCTCGCTCTTGTCCCCAGTATCTGTGAAGGTTACTACTGCCATACAAATTTATCAAATAGCCAAAAGAGCAAAATCGCCGTGTACTCGACAATCAGAATGCGTCCATCACGCGTGTTCCTCGACCACCATCGCAGAATTGAGCTCGGTGGAACTGCGATACAACCGGTCGGCGACGCTGCAGATGTGTCCGCGATTAAGGACCGGTTGGGGCTACATAAGCTTGCATTAGAGAGAGCAGGTGTCACTGACCTGTCGACACTGGGATCAATGAGCTTGTCTGGCCCCGTTGTCCCACAGGTTGGAGTAGCTGTGCCTGAGCAAGACCAATACGAGGCGCAATCAGTGCCCTTCCAGCATGCCTACAAATTTGATAGTGACCAAAACACCCTAATTCGCATGGGAGGAATCGCACGTCAGTTGAAAACCCGGTCGTTGGTAGTCAGTGGCCCCGATGGGCCAATGTTGGATGATTTCCGTCCGGAAATGCGGTGGGGGAGGGAGTTGAGGGCCACACGCTCTCTTCCCACGATATATGTCGATGCCTATATCGCCGCCACTCGGCTGCAAATCGAGGACGACACGCAGATCGTGCTGAAATATCCGAATAGGTTTCTGTTTCTCATTGCGAACGAAATTCAAGTTGGAAAAAACGTGACCATCACATGGGACCGATCGCTGAACAACGCCCCGGATCCGCCAAACCAACCTGAGAAGAGACCAACCGCTGCTACTCCAGTTCGGGATCTATGGGGTGTAGCCGGCGAAACGGGGATAGATGGAGCAAAAGGTTACGAGGATGATCCAGCACGCACGACTAAGGCATATCTCGATGGTGCTGACGGACCTGAAGTCGAACTATGGACGGTCTCCCTCCAAGGAAAACCTATTATCGATGTCCAGGGACAGGACGGCGCCCGTGGTGGTGCTGGGGGCCAGGGCGGGGATGGTGGGGATGGATCTCGAGGATCAGATGCAGTGCTAACTCCTTTTGTGTGGTGGGAATGCACCAGCAGCAATGGTGCAGGTGGAAACGGTGGTGATGGAGGCAGGGGTGGCGATGGAGGAACTGGGGGAGACGGTGGCCACGGGGGCCGGTGCCGTATATATGCTCTACAAGCCGTGGTTACGACACTCGCTCAAGGCTTTTTGGTCAGCGCGGTTGGAGGACGCAAAGGCAGAGGAGGGCCAGGTGGTGCTCCAGGGAGAGGTGGTGCAGGGGGCAAGAGAGGAGACAACCCCCGAAATTGCCGGCCAAACAGAGAAGACGGAGAAGATGGCAACGACGGGGCTCCAGGACAAGAAGGACAGGAGGGAAGGTACGATGGCGAGGCATATAATGACGCCATTCAACTGAACGGCATCACCCAGGCGGACTTTGACGAACAGCTGACCCTTCCTGCACTCGAGAGAGCAGAGCCGCAGATAGGATTTGAAGGGGACCTGATTACGATCCACGGGTCCCGGTTTACTCAGAATGATGAGTTGTTAATAGACCATCAAGTGACAGCCATCTCGGTCATTAGTGATCGACGATTCAGCTTCGTGGTTCCAGCTGTCGCTGGAGGGAACAAGACATTGCAACTCAGGCGCAGGAATGGAAAGCTCTCAAACAAAAACAGTTTTGCTGTACAGCCCCGGATCAGCACACTCCTACCCGGTACACGCGTGCATCCTGGACGGCTCGTGACGCTGCGAGGCAGTGGATTCAGTCCCGAGGCCTCTGTCATTGCGGAGAGGGAGCGAGTGGAGGGGTTTCAGTTTGTTGACACCAATACACTGCGATTCACCGTCCGCCGACCAGCCAACATCCGTCCAAACGCAGCAGGCGAGCCGATGGTCCTTCAGGTGCTGGTCCCACAGGTGCCGCCGTCCAACACGCTGGAGATCGCCCTCGACACTTTCCGTATGATGGTGTTTGGAGACTCCGTCCTATGGGGCCAGGGCCTGGTAGAATCCCAGAAGATTCACAACCATGTCAAGAGCTTTATGCGTCAGCAGGACGGGGATATTGAAACATACTGCGACCTCCGTGCCCACTCTGGTGCTATAATCGGCATTGACGATCCCACCGTGGCAGCCGCTCTGGATGGTGAGATCCCCACAGACTACCCGACCATCACTCAGCAAGCAGAGGCGACCGACATCGATGCCCCGGAAACCGTGGATCTTGTACTTGTCAACGGGGGGATCAATGACATTAACTTTCGCCGCATCCTGGACCCCAGTGTAGGTGAAAACACTCTCCGCGACTTGATAGATCGCCACTGTCGCCAGGATATGGAACGCCTTCTTGTGCGTATTGCGGACCGCTTCAACAAAGCAACCATCATTGTGACAGGGTATTACCCAATCTTCTCGGAGGAAAGCAATCTTCTATCAATGACCGCATTCCTCAGTCTGCTCGGCGTCGCACTGGCACAGATTTCCGGTGGGCTCGTCGGAGGGTTTATCAGCGTCGCGATGAAGGACCAAGTCGTGAGGAGGGCAGCTCTCTTTGCGGCAGAGTCCGAAAAATGTATCCAGCGAGCCGTTGACGCGGCCAATCTGCAAAGCTCCAAGCGACGTGTCCTCTTTGCGCAGCCTGAAATTAGTCGGACTCACGCAACTCTCGCCTCAGATCCCTGGATCTTCGGGGTCGGGGCTGCAGGCGCTCCGGAAGATTCGGCAGTAGCTCCAGGAAGAGCGATACTCTGTGAGTCCGCTCCCGCAGGGCGGTGTGATGTCACCACCTGCAGGGTTGCTTCCATGGGGCATCCGAATGCAAGAGGAGCACAGGCATACGCAGAGGAGATTACCGCGTTGCTGCACACCCAGGCTTCCTTCCCGGAAGGATTTCTATGGGGAGTGGCGACCGCTGGATATCAAGTAGAAGGGGGTCCTACAGCAAACGATTGGGACATCTTCACTCAGTCTAGGGCTATTCGTGACCGAGTGCATCGGCTGGCACAGCACGTCGGGCAGGATATTGAGTTAGCTCCGGTGGGAGATGCTGTGCAGCACCGCCAGATTGAAGTACTTGAGCAGGACCTGGATCGTGCCAAACTTCTAGGGCTCAACGCATATCGGTTCTCGATCGAATGGCCTCGGGTTGAGCCGAGCCGTGGGCAGGTGAATGAAGCTGAACTGACGTACTATGATCGGGTCTTCGACGAACTGAGGCAACGCGGCCTCGAGCCTATCGTTACCCTCAACCATATGACGCTTCCTCAATGGGTCTTGACGCCCTCGGCAGCAAAAGACCCTGTGTCCGGTTTGGCTGTTCCTGATCAGTCATTCAACAACTCACTGCGTGGATGGGAAACTCTGGAGGTTGTAGACTGTTTTGCAAATTACGTTAGGGCCGTCGTTGAGAGGTACAAGGACAAAGTCAAAACCTGGATCACCCTGAACGAACCAGTAGGTTCCATGGTAGGGCTTGGTTATCTCGCTGGGATCTGGCCTCCTGGCTTTAGTCTGGATGGACAAAGAGCTAGACAAGCATACTTTAATCTCCTTAAGGCACACGTTCGGGCCTACGATGTCATCAAAGCAATCTATGGGCCTGATGGACAATCCCGCGTCGGAATTGCTCATGCCATGCTTTACGGGCGCTTAACCCCGGCCGGGGGAGGGTTGGGAGATATAAACGTGGCAGCAACAAATCAGTTCAACTATTTCTACAACGAGCACCTCTTGAACTCACTCGTGAACGAGCGCGTGGATGTCAGTATCGATCGACATCCTGCAGATCGCGTCTATAGGGCGAGCACCGACCTGTATGGACTCACCTCTTGGAAGAAGAAGCTCGATTTCCTAGGCCTCAACTATTACCGCTCAGTCTACGTCGGCCATGACCCAATTCTTGGCGCCGCAGCGGGCTTCGCTGGGGGTTTTTCGACAACGACCTCAGAGACAATGACGATCAGCACCAGCTCCTCAATGACATGGGCTGGGAGATATACCCGAAGGGCATCTACTACATCTTGAAATATGTCCACGAGAACTACGACCTTCCTGTCTTGATTACAGAGAACGGTATTTCACAGGCAGTTGACTGCCATCGGGCACCGTTCACTGTTTCACATCTCCAGCAAGTCCTTCGAGCTATTCAAGAAGGTGTCAAGGTCCAAGGGTACATCCATTGGACGCTCGTCGATAACTATGAATGGCAGGACCACTATCGCTCCCGGAGTCGCTTTGGGCTCTTTACTGTGAACCGCACAGGTGAGACCCAGCCGTTCCGGCGTTGTATCACTGAGGGCGCACTGGCCCTGCAATACATAATAGCAGACAACGCCGTGGAGCAGGCGGCAGAGAAGTTCGGGAACATGGCAGCCAACGCCTCCAGCGTGTCTCCCCCAGTTCAGAACGCAGGTGCCTTGTGGGTATCCGATGGCACAACAGCTGAAAATCCTACCATTCTCAAGCTCAATCTGTACCTTTCCAAGCTGTCTCCGACTCAGTATCTGGGTATGATCTTTCTACACGAGAGTCATACGTGGCATCGGTTGGATACTATTGAATGGAAGGGCAAAACACTCTCCTTCGAATTCACAGATACGGACCACGCGCTCATTCGGGGTACGGCGATCTCTACAGACAATACCCTACGAGGAGAGTTAGGATACATCCCACCGCGTTCCTGGCAGGCCAAGCGTGAGACACTATCTGGGACATGGCGGAGTGAGAGAAGTCCCCATTACGTCCACTTCCATGGCCTAGAGCACCCGTCGGCCGGTGGGTGGTCAGGGAAGTATCATATGCTTGGTTCTCACCGATCACACAGGAGGTGGGCTTCAGGATACTTGACGCAGACCGATGACAGGGTCAATTTCGCCATGGATGATGAGGGCGTCTTCAACGGAAGCTTACCTCAGGCTTCGGACTCTATGTTGGCTGGCGAGATTCGGCTTGTTGGCGGTGGAGGAGGTGCGACGATGGCGTGGAGAGCCCAGCGGCTTCCTGATTATATTCCTTAAAAAAGTGAATACCTAACCACCCCGAGCTTCTGGCGGCGCACTCTTTTGTTTTCGACTGTTTTGTTTCCTTGTCATGGTCTCTCTGTTCTCTGTTACTGAACGCCGCGCCCGAAACGACAGGCTGTCCAAAAATATCATACTGTGGGAACATGACAGTCTGCGCTTATTTGTTTAAAAAAGTTGTTGGAAGTCAAGCCAGTTCAACACCTGACTTCCAAAGCTGTAATCAGAATAACCTGATCAGCTAATCGGGACATGAAACTCAGAAAAGAATCAGCCCGTGGATGAAGGGAAAATACGAGTTTTATAATTTACGCCGCGTTACCCCGCTTCTTGCTTACTATGTTTGTCTGCTTGTTCGCTTCTATTTTAGTCTATTTATACGAGATTGATTCCAATGTTAGTTAGGTAGGCAGTTTAATCTTCTCATCTCTGAATATTAGCTGTTCTCACCCATCTTATAGTTATTTAATCCCATTCGGGTTCCAGCACATGACTAAGCTCTGTCATAGACCTGATCCATAATGCCTTGAGTCTACATGTGGCATCGCCAATGACATAAGCAACAGGTCGCCATTGAATGTAAACTAAACGTATTTAGGAAGGCCCCCCACAATAAATTACTGTCAATCAAAAACCGAGCCTACTATCTACCACTCCCCACACCATTTTTCCACGACCCATATTATTTTTTTTTACTCTTCTACCAAGCACTTAATAAGTGCTCCCAGCATGGCGCCCCCTACTTTCCTTGCCGATGAGCCGGCTCACAAGCGGTATCTCGAGCAGGGAGCTGCTGGAAATCTGGTTTTCCCAGATTACGACCTAGTAAGATAACTTTGCCCCCCGAGGAAAGAGAAATGTTGCTCTCACTTCGACTAAACATTTTCTAAGCGCTTAACTAACCAGATTCTAGGATACTGAGGGCGATATCATCGTGGTGCCTGGCGAGGCATTTTGCCGGGTCAAGGATTGTATCGTGGCTAAGGTACGAAGCCTGCTAAGTATTCAATAAGCGCTTGTTAATTGCTTTAGACCGCGAGAGACACACGTAATCTCCGCGCTCACATTGCCAGTGCCCATGGCCTATCGGTATCAAAGAGCCGTACAGGCAATATTTCTATATCTGAACGGCAGGCTTCCCGAGGTAAGTGCTTGTTTTAGACTTGAGAAGCGCTTAACTGATATTCTAGTAGACTGGTTCCGCTCCCTTATTAGGGGTACCGAGGAGGTAGAAGTGGAAGGAGAGGACGTGGAAGGAGACGCGATGGAAGCGGAAGAAGATGTCGAAGTGGAAGAAGAGGAGCAGGAGAAGCCTCCTATCCCGTTAACTGCAACCGACAGAGTAAGTGCTTCCTTTATGCTCGATAGGCGCTTGATAAGCGCATTTTAAGTGCCTAGCTAACGACTGTTAGATCTCTAAGCTTAATACCCGCCGAGCCTTAGTAGCAGCCGGCTATGCTACTCTAGATAGCTTTCCCTGTTCTAACTGCCAGGGCACTAAATCTGCTTCTAGTAAGTGCTTCCTACACGCTTTTGAAGTACTACACGCTTTTAAAGCGCTTAAAACTAATGGTTAATCCAGATTGCCCTGCTAACCCTCATATTTGCGATTTTCACGAGTATTTTGATGTCAGTGCTTGCGTTAGCTATCAGTAGACTGAGTAGACAGAATTGAAAACAAAATAGCTAGCCAAATTTTTAAAGAGCAGGCCGCTTTTTAGCCTGTTCCTCTAATTCTGCTAGCTCTATCTCTCGCTTCTTCGTTTGTATCTGCTGTTCAAGCAATTGTGCTTTTAAAACTTCGATATCAATCTGAGTCTGGAGGTTTATAGCTGCTGAGGAATCCTCTATCGTTTGGGCGTTAGCCGTCGCACGTTGCTGGAGGCTACTTGATCTAGACGATGTGAGCTATATGCTTATCAAGCGCCTGTTAAGCGCCTTATATGCGCTCGGTAAGCATACCTTCGAGATCCACCTCGTGATTTTTGCGATCTTGATACCCTGACCGGTATTGGGACACCTGATGTGGAAGAGCGACCACTAAATCTAAGCGATTGTTCTTCATCAAGGTCATCCACCTCGGTAGCCTCTGACTGTTTTTGACGTTTATAAAGTACTTTTCCACGTTAGCTAAAGTGTCATCGATGTAATATATATATATACGACATACCTCGATCAATGAAGCGATCATACTGTGCCGAAACACCACCTGCTCGATATGTAGGTCGAATACCTGAACTTCTCCAAGCGTTATATTGCTGTATATCAAGTTCGTCCATCTGGCGACCGCTGTTGAGTTTAGTAAGCGTTTGCTAAGCGCATAGTAAGTGCTTCACTGATGAACTAACTTGGTCAATGCTTGCAGTAGAGTTAATCTACGCCCACGAGCATTTCCCTTGTGATGCGTTTGCTCAACGGCATTCGTGTTCTTGCGTAAATGGCGAAAGGTGGCTGATGGGATAGGGGAGCAGCTTTGGCAGAGGCCTTGGGCTACCCAATCTTGCTTCTTATGCTTTGCCCACTCGCGAATAAAGCTATATGAAGCGAACCCTGAAGCCATAGGTGCTTAATAGCCGCTTGATAAGCACTTGACTGACAATCAGAACTTACGCTCAACAATCCAATCAAGAGCTTCATGGTACTCGTCAGAGGTTGACGTTTCCAGGATTGATCTCATAATACTAGCTGCGCCAGTAGGAATAGATACTTCCTTTTTCAAACAGTCATTAATACCTCGGTCAAAATGAATCTGACAGAAAACGACCTGATTTTCTGATAGCACACGAGAATCTCCGTGTAGCGGATCAATCTCATGGAGATAATCGCCAAGACCTAATTAATACAAGTAAGCACTGGATAAGCGCTTACCAAGCGTCTAGACCTACCTCCGTACTGCTTTGTATCCATATCCATGACAATTGCCTCGATACCAGTCCCATCTAGGCATCGAAATGAGCACTCCGATTTCAGTAGCCGCCTAACGCAATCGAATACTCTCTTAAACAAGAGATAGAACCCGTATCGCGTGTCCTCGGTAGTATATACCCGGCAGAGTGTTAAAACTAGTATACTTTAGCATTTATTAACCGGTTATGAAGCGTGTAGTTTACTTCGTTGGCGGTCTTTGATCTTTCTTGCGAAGACTACCTCTTTAAGGTCCTCGCGGTGAAGCCGTTTAGCTGCCATATCCACTTCGAAAGGCTCACTATTAACCAGCAAAGATGCTTGTTCAATAGTAAGGCAAATGACCATCTGGCCCTCCTCCGTGAAAACAGCTTGAACATACTCCTAAAGTAGGCGCTTAGCAACTGCTTCCTAAGCGCAAAATGATACGTACCTGAACTTTCTGATTAGTCTCCATCTCAAAGATCACACCATTCAAATCCTGCCCCGCTGGAAATGATAGCAACCGCTGCTTCTGAATGATAGCAGTTATCCTATCAATATTGCTGAAACTCTGGTGAATCTCGGGCAATGAAAACGTGTTATATCTCTGGCAGAACTTTAAAAGCGCTGGACTAAGCAGGAACTTGCCTAGGAGTACGTCAGCCCTAAGTAAGCGCTTGCTAAGCGTCTAGCAGGTGCTTACTGGTGGTAAGTGACGGGTCTCGTATAGACTTAATAAGCTCGTAGACCCCTTGGAGAATTTGACTTGGTGTCTTGCCTGGTGGTGGTGGGGGATGTGTGTGCTCGCCAATTGAGAGGAAAAGATAGTATGGGCATCGATCGAGATCTTTCGGGATAAGCCAATGGAAACGAACATTACATTTCTTATGGGTTAACCTTCCGCAACCTTGCGGGTGTTCAACTTCTACTAAGCGCTTAGCAAGCATATGGGAAGCGTTTAGGAGTCATGACGTACCGCAAAATCGCAGTCTGGTAGCCCGACGCTCAACAGTCCCGCAGTGCGTCTGTTGAAGATCCGCCCTTTGCTTAAAGAGATCCTCAAGAAAAGGTATGTCGACCTCGCCTAGTCTAGGCAGTGCTGGTGATATGTAGTGCCCTAATGTACCAGATTCTCTGTGCACACATTGAATATATGTCCTCGATACGCCAAGAGGCGTCTTATCGATATTAGTAAAAGTACTGGTTCATAATGATATTACTAACCTGAGATTCACCGATCCTTAGAACTGGCATACAAGTACCAAGCCTTGGCACACAGGGCGTACGCGGGTTGTTCGGTTCGAAAAGCCGTCGGTATGCTTGATATTCGCTAGTTCTGTAAGCGCTTCTTAAGTGCTTGCTAAACGCTGATGTGCGCTTTAACTTACCCAATCGCACGTCTCTGCGGTTCTTCGGTAGGTAGAAAGGGAACCATATGTCTAATCCTTCGTATCTGTTTCCATGTTTCATCGTCCACCTTGGAATGGCACATGTATTGTAGATCAGGGTTGATCCACTCGCAAACCTTCACTCCGGTACAAACGCTTGTACTATGGAAATAGCCTGAATCACCAAATATAGACTGATGATTTGAAGAGCGTCGCGTATGATTTCGTTGCATTGCGTATTGTACCTTCTATGATTAGTAGGCGCTTCAGTAGCGTTTGGTAGGCGCTTCAGTAGCGTTTGGTAAGCGCTTGAATTCCACTTACACTGTCAATTGCATCTTCTACCTTTGCTTCCGTCCCATGAGACAAAGAAACAATATAAGCGAAGCCATTCTTGTGCGTTTGAGGGTATTCAGGGAGATCCTGTGTGTATTCAAGGTATTGTGCGTATAGAGGAGTATTTGAGGTGAACGTAAGGCGAATTCGAGGTGTCTTAAAAATTTATTAGTATAACAATTCCAAGTGCTTGTTGAGTGCTTACTTCGTCCTCTGGCTCTGTTGACATTTTGCCGTATTCAGCGGGAGGTATTTTGTAGAGGCGAGATGTGGGTATAAGGCAAGCGAGTGAGTACAGCCCTAAACCCATCCGTAATACAGCCGTTTTAGTGGCTTTGCCTCTACTTCACGCCGCCAATTACATAAGGTAGACATCGCCATTGAAATCCAAATTAGGTTTAGCGTCTGGCGGTTGATGATTATGTCATTGGCGACGTGAGCTGTATACTCTAGAGGGTGTTCCACCCGGGGCCCGCTCGACTTCTTCGCCCTCTGATTGGTCCCCCGTGCGTGCTCCCGGCGCCCTCGGTGCGTGCCCGGAGGGCCCGCGCCCCATCAGATTCGCGCAGTCCGCGACCGCCGACCGCAGCGGGACCCCACCCCATGGGCGTAAATTCAATGTGCCGTAGGGTTTCTAGGGTTTTAGGGTTGCCGTCGTAAAATGGGTTTCGGGGCCCATTGTGTTGACATTTTTGCTGACAAAGATACCCCAAATTTGAATATGTTGTAAAAGCAATTCGGTTTGATAGTCAGATCAAATTTGAGGCCAATCCATATTGATATAAGCTTGGTTTCTGGGGTTCGAAAACGCCCGATGTTTTTGCAGGAGCGCGCATCACCCGCCGACCGTGGTCCATCCGCCGTACTCCGAAAATCACCCCCATCAGGTTTAGTTCACAGGACTAGTTTTTCGTCGAGATGTCAGAGGTTAATTGCCAGAGGATTGATTGATATCCCATATTTTAAGAGCATCATAGCCCCCATCAAATTCGCGAAATCCGCAACCGCCGACCGCAGCGACCCTGCCGGGCACAGCCATAGACTATTCACGATTCATTCGGCCAAGGATTGCTATATGATGCAGTTGGAGAATCATCCACACTCCGGTCGCACGATCGTACCAGACCTAAGCTTCACCACACCGAATTATCACATTTAGAGTATAGATGTGTATCCCCGTCTTTACAGTATATGTATTGAAGAGGGGAACGCTCGATGGCAGCACGCGCTGGGACGTGCGGGTCGATTCAGCAGAAAGACCACCACAAAACACACGCGTATGTAGGGGTCAGGTCGGGGAGGTGTAAGAAGGTGTATTCGAGAACTGGCTATCCGGCCACCGTATACTGCCGGCTATGTCACATAGTCTGGATGGCACCCATGTAGTAGGGGAGGGGGTCTCCCCACTACAATATATATCTTTACACTGTCAAGCCCAGTTTGCCGGGTGCATTGGGCTCATATGTGATCTGCCCAGATCGACGTGTTCCTGATAATTCCGAGGCCATATCTGATTTGATTCCCCAACTATTGATCTCTCGATGTCGCTATTTGTTGCATTGCGCTGGAATATCTAGATCGGTCAGCCAGACCTCCGGCAGTCCCGCACCCGCGTGTCAGATCCCGAGGTACTCTCCGGGATGACCTATCACATCGGCCCCAGTGCCGTTCAACCCCTATTCCCTGCCTCCCTAGATCAAGTTCTTTGAATCTACACCTTGTGTTTTTCTATATCGACCTCACTCACCGCTGCCTTCTCCACTAGCGCTCTCACCATGGACGCCATCGGGGTATTCTTCACATATAATGCCACATATCGGTTATGGATCTGCAAGACCTGTCAATATGTGGTGGATGTCAAAACCATGATTGCCCACCTAGGCGCAAAGCACCGACAACACCCTATGGCCCGCACTGGCGACCAACGGGCAGCTATTCATGCTGAAGCCATGAAGGCGAACCCATGGAACCCTGACACGGAGCCATTCACCCCACCACCCCCTGACTCCCGGCCAATTCCTGGATTAACGGTCCATCGTGGCTACC